AAGACAGAAGGAAAGTATTAGCCCAAGAGACAGAAAGGGCCACATAAACCAGAGACTTCATCAGCCTGAGACCAGAAGAACTAGATGGTGCCTGGCCACCACCAATGACCACCCTGACAAGCAACACAACAGAGTCCCTGATGGAGCAGGAGAAAGGTGGGGTGCAGAACTTAAATTCTAGTAAGAAGACCAGACTTAATGGTCTGAATGAGACTCGAGGAAGCCCAGAAAGCATGGCCCCCAGTTCTCTATCAGCCCAGAACTAAAACAATTTCTGAGGCCTACTCTTCAGACAGGGATTGGACTGTACTGTGGGACATAAAGCGATACTCGTGAGGAGTGTGCCTCTTAGCTCAAGTAGATACAAGAGACTAAATGGGCAGCTTCTGTCCAGAAGTGAGATGGGAAGGCAGAGAGGGCTAGGAGCTGGTTGAATGGACATGGGTTATTAGGGGTGGAAAGGAGGAGTGTGCTGTCACAGTACGGGGAGAACAATTAGGGTCACATAACAATGCATGTATAAATTTTTGTATGGGAGACTAACTTGAAATGTAAACTTCATTTAAACTACAATAAACAAGAAAAAAAAAAGATACAAAGCAATATCAGTGAAGGGAAAAGGCACGTGAAGTCTGGAGAAAACCAAGTGCAAGCTTCCAAGAGTCCTCTCCCCATCAAGTCACAGGACATGCTTAATTCCTCCAGCATCAAATTGTGACATGTGTGAAATTCTGTCTACAAGGGAAGCTCATTAGAGACTCTATATCCAGGGTTTTTATTGGGGCTGGAAGACGAGCCCCAACATACCAACTGTCACGAAGATGGCGCAGCACTGGGAAACGTTTATTCTGTTATACGTAAGGTCATCACGAGTTGGAGTCCACTCAATACCAACAATACACACATACATTTTTAAAGATATTTTTATGCATAAACACAACTCCAACTCTGATTAAACTTGGAAAGATCTGTATCTCCAAAACACAATCTATGAAGAGAGAAGTCAGGTGGAGCTGTGACTGACTCAACGGAGTAGAACCAGAAACCTAATGACTTGCATGAGGATACCCATGAGGAGTCAACTATTTAGCCCCATGGAAACTTAAAAGAGCACAGAACTGGGAGCCACAGGTAGAGTGGAGGTAGGGGTGGGGGGTAGGCTGAAAAGAGAGGGACTATTTGAGTCTGCATAAGAAGTAATCGGACTCCCAAGTTTCCACCCCACTCCAGACAGAAAACCTCGCTGTGCCTTACTCAGGAAACCTGAGGCTTCTGCTCCAGAGAAACTCAGAGATGCCAGCCAGAGCAAAGGATGGAGACACGGCAGGGGACTAAATGAAAATCTTTATTCTGAACAAGCCTCCCAACCCTCTTCCCCTCCCCAACTCCCAGAATTCCCACAACCAGGTGAGAGATCAGGGGATTTTTGGGAAAACTGACTTACAGATCCCAGTATCTGGGTACCTTCCACTTGTGGTATTTCTGTTATGGCAGCAAGAGGTAACTAAGACACTATGTCTGCAAAAGGAATGAGGAGTTATCTGTCGTGGTCCTAAGGAACAGACTGAATGTAGACAGTCTATTTAAGAGTTATAATCTAGTTCATGAAATATTTAGCCAGTACCCAACAGTACACAAAGGGCTGCCGTAAATTCCAAACTGAACACGGAGATTTGCTGAATCTAACCTTAAAGGGACCACAAAGATGTATCTAATAGCAACACTAAACCAAGCTTATGGAAGCTCAATGTGAATATTCACTTCCACCTTTTACTCATGTAAATACAGAAGGACACCTCTTGACATACAGGTTTAGTTTTTTTCTCAGGAAATATTTATTGCATAATATTAATGACTATATTTTACAGTAAAATTAAAGGTATACACTTCTCACAACCATAAATGGTAACCAAAGAAAGCATTTATTAAATTTACATACTAAACCACACCCCTGGTGTTCAGAATTCAGCCATCAATCATGATTCTGCACCAGGGCCACCAGTCCATGATTTCAAATAGTTGTGAATCTTCTCAGTAATTGGAACAAAATCTTCTTTATATATGACAATCGTCTCCACATAAAACCCTCTCGGGGGCTCAGGTAATTCAATTGTTGAGCCTTCCTTCTGCTCTACTTCATTGCCTTTTAAAAAAAGTGAGACATCAGAATTATTAACTTTTAACTTAGAGAGCAGCCATTAAAATTATTAGTAAGGTCCTAGAAATAAAGTAGGGCTTGCCCTCATCCCCATCACATTCCTGACACCATTTTCTTTCTTAAAAAAAAAAAGACAGAAATAGCGAAAACATGGCAAAGGCATGAAGACCAAGATAATAAACGTCCAGTGTTCACTGTTCAGCTTAAGAAATAAAACAGGACCACTACAGACATTAAATGTTTTTAAATGCTTAATGTTGGACATGCGCATTTTCAAGCTACTGACAATCTTCATCACCAAATGTCATCCTCAGTACTTTTGTTTGTTTAATATAACAGCTTTATTGAGATATACTTCACTTACACAATTCGCCCATTTAAAATGTGCAATCCAGTGGTTTTTAGTATATTCACAGTTGTACAACCATCACAAAAGCATCAACTCCCCATTTTCCCCCAACACCCTCAGCCCCTAGCAACCACTAATTTTACTGTATTTACCAGAGATCTACTAAATCTACTATAGATTTTCAGCACATTTTTGAAAGTTGAGAAGCTGCCTTTCCCACCTAGTAACTTGGCAGATTTAATATTCCTTGCCTGGTCAAAGTCCTGAATTTGTTTGCCTGCTGAATATGATCAAGGGTAGTGTTACAGAAACATCATCTTTTAAGCCATACAGGCCAGGTTCTCTGAAATTTTATCTTGAACTTTATATACAAACTCTTCAAAAGCTTGATTATGAGGAAGGCGCTAGTCAATAAATAAGATTTAGGCAAGTGGATTTAGAGGGTAGTTCCTAGCGTCCGGTCCTTTGCATATGCCCTTAGAACAAATGGCTCTCAGCAACTGTTTCAACTAGTTCTGCAGAATAAACTTGGGGCTTAAAGACACAGCGAAGCCGCGTCCATGACCGCCTGAGCACTCGCCACCGAAGGCTGCGTGTCCAGTTGCAGATCCCGCTGGAGCGCCTTACCTGGGAGTGTGCTCTTTTTCTGGCCTAAGAAAAACAAGGAGCCCAGCAGAGTCCAGGAGCCCAAGGCGTAGAGCGCAGACATTCGCCGGTACCACACTGCGGCCTGCTCCGGACCCATAGCATCGGCGGGGAAACACCTCCGTCCTCGGAGACTCAGGGCAGAAGCGTGTCTTCCGGTGAGCGCGTCACCGCCGCAAATGGGGAGCCGGCCGCAGGAGACCGCTTCCTGCACCAGCCCCGGTGCATCTTGGGACGCGTGGTCCCACTCTACACCGGGTTCGGACTCGGAGCTAGCGAGGTTGGGATTCAGCGGCTTCGGGCTTTAACTGCGGGCAGCGGTGACTGCTTGCTACGAGATGGGGGCGAGATGTCTTCTCTTAGCAGAAACTTATCACTTGCTAAAGGCATTGTAACGAATACCTTAGAAAGGCTCCAGGCGGTATTTTAAAAGGTTAATTCCATCTCCTCTTTCACCTCCGAGATTTGTGGAGATGCAGCCTATCCCTCCTCAACACATCTTCCTCGTTTTTCTTTCTGGAACCGCCTCTGCGTGAATCTTGGGCCCCCTAATAATCCCTCTAGGAGCAGGAGCCCTGGTGGTGCAGTGGTTAAGTGCTATGGTGCTAACCAAAAGGTCAGTGGTTTGAACCCACCAGCCGCTTGGCAGGAGAAAGATGTGGCAGTCTGCTTTTGTGAAGATTGTTTTGTTGTTAGGTGCCCTCCAGTCGGTTCCAACTCATAGCAACCCTGTGTACAACAGAACGAAACACTGCCCAGTTTTGTGCCACCTTCACAATCATTGCTCTGCTTGAGCCATTGTTGCAGCCACTGTGTCAATCCATCTCTTTGTTGGTCTTCCTCTTTTTCGCTGACCTTCTACCAAGCATGATGTCCTTCTCCAGGGGCTGGTGGTCCCTCCTGATATAACATGTCCAAAGTACGTGAGACAGAGTCTTGCCATTTTTGCTTCTAAGGAGCATTCTGGCTCTCCTTCCAACACAGATTTGTCTTTCTGGCAGTCCGTAGTATATTCAATATTCTTCACTAACACCATATTTCAAAGGCATCGATTCCTCTTTGGTCTTCCTTATTCATTGCCCAGTTTTGCATGCATATGAGGTGATTGAAAATATCATGGCTTGAGTCAAGCGCTCCTTAGTCCTCAAAGTGACATCTTTGCTTTTTAACACTTTAAAAAGGTCTTTAGATCTGCCCACTGCAATATGTTGATTGATTTCTTGGCTGCTGCTTCCACAGGCATTGACTGTGAATCCAAGTAAAATGAAATCCTTGACAATTTCGATGTTTTCTCCTTTTATCATGATGTTGTTTATTGGTCCAGTTGTGAGGATTTTTGTTTTCTTTAAGCTGAGGTGTAATCCATACTGAAGGTTGTAGTCTTTGATCTTCATCAGTAAGTGCTTCAAGTCCTCTTCACTTTCAGCAAGCAAGGTCGTGTCATCTGCATATCACAGGTTGTTAATGAGTGTTCCACCAATCCTGATGCCACATTCTTCTTCATATAGTCCAGCTTCTCGGATTATTTGCTTAGCATACAGATTGAATAAGTATGGTGAAAGGATACAGTCCTAAAACACACCTTTCCTGATTTTAAACCATGCAGTATCCCCTTGCTCTTTCAAACAACTGCCTCTTGATCTGTGTACGGATTCCTCATGAGCACAATTAAGTGTTCCTGAATTTCCATTCTTAGCAATGTTATCCATAATTTGTTGTGATCCACACAGTTGAATGCCTTTGCATAGTCAATAAAACACAGGTAAACATATTTCTGGTATTCTCTGCTTTCAGCCAAGATCCATCTGATGTTCCTTGTTCCACATCCTCTTCTGAATCCAGCTTGAATTTCTGGCAGTACTCTGTCAATGTACTGCTGCAACCACTTTGGAAAGATCACAGCCTTAGAAACCCCATGGGACAATTCTACTCTGTCCTATAGGGTCACTATGAGTCGGAATCAAATCACATCAACTGAACAACAAAGAACAACAGCTCTACACAAAAAGTGACTGTAAATGGATCATAAACTTAAATGCAAAAGCTAAAACTATAAACCCAGAAGAAAACAAAGGAAAAAAATCTTTGCCACCTTAGAATAGGCAAAAATTTCTTAGAACACAAAAAAGCACAAACCTTAAAACAAAAAAAATTAAACTGGACTGTATCAAAATTAAAACTTCTTCCCTTTGAAAGTCAGTTAAGAAAATGTAAAGACAAGCCACAGAATAAAACAAAATATTCACAATACGTATATATGACAAAGGACTTCTATCCAGAATACATAAGAACTCTTACAGCTCAATGATTAGAAAGTTATCCAACTAAAAAATGGACAACAAATTTGAACAGACAGTTAGCAAAAGGTATATGAATGTCCAAAAGCACAGGAACATCATTAGTCATCACTGAAATGCAAATTAAAGCCACAATGTGACACCATTACACACTATTAGAATAGCTAAAATTAGACTAAGAATACCACGAGTTAGTGAGGATGTGGAGAAATGGGAACTCTTGCTGGTGGGAAGGTAAAAATGTTACAATCTTTGTAAAACTTGCTGTTTTGTAAAAAGTTGAACATACACTTATAATATGACCTAGACACTTCACTCCTAGTTATAACCCTCCCCCCAAAAAAAGAAAACATATGTCCACACAAAGACATGGACATGGATGTTCATAGCAGCTTTATTCATAATAGCCAAAAATGAAAACAACCCAAATGTCCATCAACTAGTGAATGGAAAAATGAAACATAGTACATTACTCAGTAATAAAAAGGAACTACTGACACATGCAACAACATGGATAAATCTCAAATGCATTATGATAAGTGAAAGAAGCCAGACACAAGAGAAACAAGACTTAAAATTCTAGAAGCAAACCAATAGTGAAAGAAAACTGATCAATAGTTGCTTACAGCCAGGGTGTGGAGATAGGGAAGGACTGCAAAGGGGCCTGAGGAAGCTTTAAGGGATGATGGAAATGTTCTGTGTGTTGATTGGGTGGTGGTTTTGGGGGATGTACGCATCTGCCAAAACATCAAATGGAGTTTTTTTTTTTTAAGTGCTCAATGGATGTTATTTTTTAAAAAATTTTTTTGTTGTAGTTTAGATGAAGGTTTACAGAACAAATAGTTTCTCATTAAACAGTCAGTACACATATTGTTTTATGACATTGGTTAACAACCCCACGACATGTCAACACTCTCCCTTCTCAACCTGGGAGGACATTTTTTTTTTTTTTGGTGAGAATATACATAGCCAAAGATACACCATTTCAAAAATTTCTACATGTACAATTCAGTGACATCGATTACATTCTTCCAGTTGTGCTACAGTTCTCACTATCCTTTTCCAAATTATTCCATCACCATTATCTTCAACTCACTGTCCCCAGGCCTCCCATCAAACATTTTGAGTTGCTGTTGTCAATTTGATCTCACATAGATAATTCCTTTTTTTTTTTTTTTTTTTTTTGGACTTTAGATGAAGGTTTACGAATGCAGTGTATTGTAAGTAAATTATACCCCAGTAAAGTTTAAAAAAAAAATAGAAAAATCAATGTTGTATTCCCAGTTTGCTTCTCTTCTCACCCTGAGCAAACTTACCCATTTTATCTACTTTATATGTTAGTGACACTCAAATCTAACACAGATTCTCTCCTGAAAACCAAATCCATATTAATTACTGCCAACCTGCTGGGCATTTTCACCTCTCAATTCTACCCTTTCTCTGAAAACACCCTGCCTCTCTTCAGGTTTCACTTTTCACCTACATTATAGCCTCCTCCCATCCATTCTGCAACTTTTAGTCTTGGAGTGTTTTTAAAACCTATGACTGATTGTTTCACATCCTGCTTAAGATAAGTCAGAGGCATTCCTTTCCTTCAAGATGACATTCAAACTCATTAGGCTCAGTGGCCCCTCTCAGAATCGCTGCCCTCCACACACTGCCTTCCTTCTCTCTGGAAACAGCCACTGGTACCCAGGTGAGACCTGCATGGCCATGTTGTGCATCTTAGGTCACCCAGAGAAGAAGGATTAGAACTTGGAAAACATGATCTTGATGATAGAAACTATGCTGGAGATCATGTAGTAGAATTCCGCTACTTATTCATTGTAACTACTTTTTTTCAACAACATAATCGAGAACTGTGCACTGGATGGACTACACAGAAATCAAATTGACTACATCTGTGGAAAGAGATTATGAAGAAGCTCAAGATCATCAGTCAAGACAAAGCCAGGGGTCAACTGTAGAACAGACAATCAACTGCTTATGTGCAAGTTCAAGTTGAAGCTGAAGAAAATCAAAGCAAGTCCATGAGGGCCAAAGTATAACTTTGAACACATCCCACCTGAATTTAGAGATTATTTCAAAAACAGATTTGATACGCTAAACACTAATGACTGAAAATGAGGAGAACTGTGGGAAGACATTAAGGACATCATACATGAAGAAAGTGAAAGATCATTAAAAATACAGGAAACAAGGAAAAGACCAAAATGAATGCCAGAAGAGACTCTGAAACTTGCTCTTAAGCACAGAGTAGCTAAAGGGAATAGAAGAAATGATGAAGGAAAAGAACAGATGTCAAAGGTTGGCTCAAGAAGACAAGGTGCAGTATTATGATGAAAAGTTCAAAGACCTGGAGTTAGAAAACCAAAAGGGAAGAACACAATTGGCATTCCTCAAGCTGAAAGACCTGAAGAGAAAATTCAAGGCTTGAGTTGCAACAATGAGGATTCTATGGGTAAAAACTGCTGAATGATGCACAAAGCATCAAAAGAGCATGAAGGAATACAGAGTCACTGTACCAAAAAGAATTGGTTGACATTCAACCATTTCAGGGATAGCATATGATTAAGAACTGATGATACTGAAGGAAAAAGTTCAAGCTACACTGAATGCATTGGTGAAAAATAAGTCTTCAGGAATTGACAGAATACCAGTTGAGATGTCTCGACAATGGTTGCAACACTGGAAGCGTTTACTTGTCTCTGTCAAGAAATTCGGAAGAAAGCTAACTGACTACCTAAGCTATCAAAGGCCAAAGCTACCATATTCATGCCCACTCCAAAGAATGGTGATCAAATAGGATGTGTAAGTTATCAAACAATAGCACTAACAGCACATACTAACA